TGCTGCTGCTGCTGCCTAGGGCCCACCCCGCGCGCGGTGAGGACCCGCAGCAACGTGAAGGCGGGGTGCTGCGGGATGGGCCCACCTGACATGACCCTCAACACCGCTTCCACCCCCTCCGCCTCAGCTTGCTGCAGCTGCCGCATCTCACCTGGTGACATGGGCATAGACATAGACCCCCCCCCTCCCGCCTCATAAGCAAGGGCGCTGTCCCCTCCACCGGAACGGGACGGCGGGTTCCGCCCTCGTGCCGCTCCCCGGGGCCCCTCCCAAACCTGCGAACCCGGAGGTCCGAAGGGTGGAAGTGGAGATGGAGGTGTGGCGGCTTCGTCGCCGGTCTCAGATCTGCCCCCCGGGGTGAGCGACCTACCGGGCGGATGGCTACCACGCGGCGGGTCCCAGGAAGCACCGGGCTGGCTGGCGGTGCCAGTGGCCGTGGCGGTGGCGGTGGCGGTGGCGGCTTCATGTGCTAGGGCCCAGTCCGGCGGCCACTCCTCCTGAAGTAAAGGGGCTCCATCCGCTACTTGGCTAAGCACCCTCCTGCTGGGGCCCCTACTGCCGGTGCCACGGCCATTGCCTGCCCCTCCCGGCATCCCGCTATTACCCACAGACCCGGTGGCCGCCCCCCGCTGCTGCGGCTGCTGCGGCTGCGGCTGGTGGCCGCCTGCCATCCTGCTGCCTGCTGCTACTGCCGCTGAGTTAGCTGCGGGGCTGTCCTGCAGCTGCCAGCGCGGAGCTTGTTGACCTGGGCGGGGAGTCCGGTGCGGTCCCGGAGCCAGGGCCCGCCGCGGCGGCTGCGGCTGCTTGACCCAGATACCTGAATCCCTGAGAGAGCCTTGATGTGCGGCAGCGCCGCCGGCAGCTCCATGCCCCGGAGGGGGGCGGGCTAATGGGTCTCCGCCGCGGCTGCTGGTGCTGGTGGCCCGGGGCAAACGTGGGGTTGGGCTGGGGCCGCTGGCAGGTGCCGCCACGGCCGCGGGCTGACCGCCACCGGGATAAGCCTGAAGCCGTGGCGTAGCTGCAGCTGCAGCACCGCCTGAAGGCGCACTGGGGGCCCTGGCATCCGCGGATATGCTCCGACCAACGCCACTCGCACCGCCGCCTCCACCACCAGCCAGCAATGCCGGGGCCGCCCTGTCCTGCCCGGATTCCGTGGGACCATGTGGGGTGCTGGGGTCCCCGGACCTGCCGCCGCTGCTCGCGACACCCGCAGGGCCGCTGGCGCGCGGCGGGACAGCACCATGGGTCGGGGGGTCGACTGCACGTGTTGGCGTCGCACCTCTCCAGGCGGCGGCCCCCGGCAGGATGTAGTCGCCCAGGCTCCTCAGGTGGCTGAACAGCCCGGAGGACGCACGCTGAGTGGACTGCGGTGGTGCGGTCACAATGGCTTGGCGGTGCGGCGTGCTGCTGCTGGCTCTAGGGGCTCTGGGTAAGCGCTGGCCCTCGTGTTCCTCGCGGCCGGGCTGGTAGAGGCCAGGCGCACTGGGAAGCCCGTACGCTGCATCATTCGGTGCCCCCGGGTGCTTCAGTGGTGTAGCATCCGTGGGCTGCCAGGGGGGCGTGTTTGCCGTGTGGGAGACCGGTGTCGGAGGACCGCCCGCATGCCTGACTGCTGAGCCCCGCATCATGTCGCGGTGCTCTGCATGTGTGGCAGGATGGAGCAACTCGGAGCTTTGGGGACCAGATAACGGCACAGGCGGTGTTGCTGTCGCAGCGTTGTTTTCAGTTGTATGATCTTTATATGCATCGTCGACGACGAAGTCCGATAAACCCAGACCAAGGGAGCCGTCGCTGTCCTGGCTGAGTTGCGATTTCATATTTGGCACAGATCTTCCCTTGCTCCCAAGAGGTTGTTCTGTGATACCTGTAACGATCGATGTTGGCTATACCTACGCAGTTCCATTTCCCATTTAACAATAGTGGTGAAAAACACAATCTCGTGGTTGGTGATCCGTTTACGCTCGTCGGTTTACACATACGGGAATCCTTGGCAACTGGCCCCTGGGTCAGCGGCAGATCTGATGTACCAGCTGACGCAGGAATTACTCGCAACTGTTGGAAGCTGATATGAATTCAAGATTATCTCGATGGCTGAACAATTGAGACATGTCTGACCATGTTTCTATCGCTTGTGAACTTGGCGGCCGGTCAACCGTTACCAGAGAGGAAAAGTGTGAACATAAACAATTCTCAAAGATGCCTCAATATGTTAAATAGCCATATTTGTACTTTTCAACTTTGCTTTTTGATTTGCTAACAGCTTACGAAATACTCGAGCAGGGAAATTATAAATTGTCCTGCGCGGCAGGAATCCACGGCGAAAGAAAACCCAGCATACAACACGAAAACAAAATATAGAAGGAAGGGGGATGAGCCGAAAATTGACCGAGACAACCGTCTTGGAGACAGGCGAGAAGATTCTTCCTGGAAGCGTAAGACCCGATGGAACGGTGCGCAAAGAGCGCAGGATCCGTGCTGGATATACACCACAGGATGAACAGCCGGTTTACCAGTCGCGCGGTATGCTGGTAGGTCAGCGGACATGCGCCATTGCGTGTATGTGTGCACCGGTCACGAACTGTGTCTTGCAGGCCAAGCAAAATGTCCCAACGTGCCCGGGCATGGATGAACTCGAGGGTGAGCAGGGGGGATTTTCTGGCCATGGGTTGCGTGGGGCGGAAGTGATGCTGACATCCCTTCTGATTGCCCGTCGCGCAGTCGCGGTGCTGAAGCAGCAGGCGGCGAAGGGAAAGAAGCCATCCAGTGCAGCGAGCCTAGCTCCTAAGCCCAAGCCCACGGCAAACACATCAACGGGGTGAGGCTCCCTGTCCTAGACATTCTTCCGGGCACCGGGGCCATAGGATTCAGCTGATAGCTTATGCTCTTACAGATGAATCGTTACTGAGCATTTCTTACACTTGCTTACCTTGCACAGTACTGCCGACTGCATGCTACAAAACATGACGCACCTGATCCTCTACCCAGCTCACAGTATTGTCGCAGTATTTGCACTGCTAAATGCATACGGACATCCAACCATATCCAGCCCTACCTACGGTGCCAGAGCCAGCATTTCAGCGCGCCTCCCCTGCTCCCCTTTCCGCACCCCACCCCACCGCACGTGAGGACCATGTTCTGTCATTCCCTTCCCCCTTCCCGGAAGGAACAGCTCCAAAGACGCAACAGTCGTTTCTTCGGTGTCGAAAGGCGCTACCCGCCCCGCACAGGCAGCCTCAGCCTCAGCCCCGGAGGCAGCGGCAGCTGCAGTATCAGCCCCGTCGGAACCCGAGGACCCTAGGGCGGCGCTGGAGAAGCAAATCCGCAACCTGAAGAAGAAGATCCGACAGTGCAGCGATCTGGCTGAGAAGCAGCAGTCGGGGAGCCAGTTGGACAAGGACCAGGAGGAGAAGCTGGCCAAGAGTGTGGTGTGGTGAGTGGGTGGGTGAATGGAGGGGCGGGATGGGGGACGCTGGTGGGGGATGTGGGTTTTACGGGATTGCGTGCTCTACTTAGTGAAGTAGTAACTAGGGGCCTTGCGCCGGGGAGGGAGGCTCCTGCAGCGGCGGAGGTTGGGAGCAACGGCTATTGTCCTGTAGGCTGCAGGCTATAGGTTGAACGAAGGAACGGGTGCCTACTGCAGCCCGGCGTGAGAGTGAGGGGAAGCATCTGCTGTGCCGCCCCTATCCTTGGTGAGCTAGCACCTCGCTCGCTGTCGTTCACTGCTCCTACACCGATGTGGACCGTGTGCTGTGCATGCACGGCACGCCACATGTACTACCGCTAGCAAGGCCAGGTGGGGCGAGGATGGAGATCGCGGGAGGAGGAGCGCGCCCTGTGCGCCCCCTCCTATGGCTGTTCCTCGCCCTACCCTTTACCCGCCTTCAGAGAACCCTTGGGCTAATGCTCCACCTCCTCGCAATAACTTCTCGGAGGGTGTGAGACCATATCCTCCCGCATTATGCTTGCTGGCTCTATCAACGAACGGTACGCAGGCAGGAAGAGGTGGGGCAGTTGGAGGCGCAACTCGCCAAGCTGGGGGTCTAGCACGCGAGCACTCCAGCCATCCCGAGGCTTTTGGGGGATAGCCAGCCGAGCGAGGGCGTGCAAGGCTTGGCGCCAACGTGCAATGGCCTTTGCGAGGATTCAGACTGTGGAGGACGCTTGAGTGATGGCTGGCTGCAGGGGGGTTGCCTTGTGATACGTATTGTGCAGTGAAGGCAATTTCATTACGCGGCATTGCGTCAACAACGCTTGTAAGTAGTGCGCGGGATACAGACTAGGTTTGGTTTTGATTGGCGCTTGGTAAGGTCTTTCGATTGCCCGCTGGGCGGCAGGGTCGTTGACCATGACAAGGATGATGGTTTGCCTGAAAGCTTGTAACGCGGGGAGGATGTGAGGCGATGGCCGCTTCACAAAAAGAACCTGGTCCAGTGCGGAGATTTGATAAGGCCTTGGGATTAAATGCAAACCGCTCTACAGACTGAATATGGTTGAGCACTACAGAGTGCCCCAGAGGCTCTCTAGTTGGGTAATGGGCTCGCTGTTAAAGATTTCGCGCAATTAAACTGTTATCATGGAACGTTCTCACAAGTGACAAGCCACAACGTTGGCCTTCGATGTGACGTTTTCCGTTGCAGCACCTGTCATCCTGAGCCGTACAAATTGGTTTAGAAACTTTGTTAGGGCACAGCGCAACGACAGGCCGGAGCTGGAAAGGATCACAGCAGCAAGGAGTAGGAACTCGGGTACCTGCAATTATTTCAATAGCAGTTGGATGCCGACGTGGTCGTGTTTGCCATCTTAATGAAATCTGTTTGTAGCATCCCCCGTTATGATTAGATGTTGCTTTAATCTCTGTCAAGAGGGGCTGCTGCGCAGCACCGTCTCATGGAAGCACCAGCTCTCGTTTAGGCCGTTTCCTAATTGCTTAGTGCGCGCTACAAGTTACAAGGGTCAACACCCATTATTGTAAGATACGTGTAAAGTAATCTGAGTGCGTTTTTGGGTAATGCAGAGGCCATATGTTGGGGTATACATGCTATGATGCGGCCTGAAGCAACGCGCGTCAGGACTGCGCTCACAGCCCACGTAAACGCATTAAATTAGACGTCTCGAGTTCCCGTTGCATTGCAGTTGACCTTCGCTAGCGCCCTGTCTATACTGGATAGTACCGATACGGAGGTCTTCCTTTCAGCGCCGACGTCCTGAAATGTCGTCAGGCGGCAGTCCTCTTCCCAATCCTTCTGGCTCACCACTGGATACACTGCCGGATGAGATTCTTATTCAGGTGCGACAACGGTGTGCGTTTTGTAACGGCTGAGCCTTAGCAAACGATTCCTGCGGCTGTTGCGAGGAGGGGGTTCTGCACGAGTGCAGGGGTCTAGCCCCAGTTTAAATCCCGTTAGATAGCGACCACCGTTTACCACCCGGCCCTGCAATCCCCTGCACACCCCGAAGCTCCCGCACACAACACGACTAGAGACGAGCAGGATGGATTGGCGTATGCAGTTTGCCATGCGTTTCCCTCCGCCTTGGCCCCCGCCTGCCGGGGTCATCCTTTGTACGGAACTCCTTGCCTACCCAGCGAGTGGAGGAGCCCAACCACTCGCAACCCTGGCCAACGTCGAACGTTCCTCGCGTTCTCCGGCTGCTTACCCCCCTCCTATGTTGCTCGCTGGGTTGCCCCCTTGGCCTGCTTGGCCTACGCCCCTGCTCTCACGCACCCTCCCCTTCCTTCCCCGTCCCATCTCACACTTTCCCTCTCCCCACCCGCACTATCGCACACACACATACACATACATACACACATACATACAAACAGATATTTGGTCACCTGGCGGTGGTGGGCGGCATCTGGGAGGACGATGACCCGCTACGGCTGAGCACCTTGCCGTACCGCCAATCGGACATGGAGATAATGCCGTGTACGGGACTGCGGGGCTACCCCTTCCTGGCGCAGGTGTGCAGGAAGTGGAAGAGACTTCTGGGTACACCCATGGCGCAGGTAGGTCATGGGCGGAGGTGTGAGCGCGGGGGGGGGGGGATATCGGGGGGGGGGGTCTATCAAGTTACATGACGACGATGATACACCAGTGATGTCGATAATGCACCAGTCCAGAAGAAGCAGCTGCCCGGCGCGGGGGCGGGGACGAGGCCCGCCGCCTTCGCCGCCGCCCCCGCCCCCGCCCCCGCCGCTCGTTATTTACTAGCTTACTAGACCCTAATAACAATAAAGAGGAGGGTTGTGCTGCGTATATGTCCTCAAGTTTATGGGGTGTTTATCAATTATTAACCTACCTACCTACCTACCTACCTAGTTAAGTAGCTGGGTTGCACCGGTGGTCCCCACCCCGCAACCCTCCCCCACCCAACTCCCCATTAATGGGATGGGGCTCTCCCTCCCAGGGTTTACCCTCAAGGTGGTGGTGGCCACCGCAAATGAGCCCTCCCTGGACTTGAGCCTGTGGCCCCACAGGGGCATTCTCCCCACCCCACCCCATCCCCTCCGGGTCCCCACCCCGCCCCGCCTCCCCCGCTCCGAGACAGCAATTTTTCGGGCAGCGTGTGTGTATTGACCTGGGCCAGGAACTGGTCACCTTCATCCACACACCCTTGAGGTGGAGCAACCAGCGACCCACTGCGGCCGAGTACCAAGCGGCCTTCCAGAAGACAACACTCAGCGCGAGCAAGGTGGGGGCAGGAGGNTGTTTGGTTGGTTGGTTGGAGCGGGGGGGGGCGGGGGGGAGGGAGTGAAGGGGAAAGGGGGGGAGCAGCCAGACGGGTTTTAGTCGCCTTGATGAAAACATACATACATACTTACATACTCAGGGTTTGCGGAGGCCAGCTAAATGCCCTGGAGGCGGCCCTCACTCCTTGGTGAGGGGACAGCTCTGAAGGAGGGGTCAGCCCCGGGCCCCCGCCCCCTCCCCCGCCCCTGGTTGCGCCCCGGGCCCTCCAGGTCCTCCACTTCCTGACCGGGGTGTCGCCCCACGTGCGGAGCCTGGTGGTGGCGAACACGGAGGGATTCGACGGGGACGACGGCGAGTACGTCAGCCTGGCGGACAAACACAACTTCGGACCGGCACATCTGGGCTTTGCACTGGCACTGCTCCGAAACACACTCGCGGTGAGAGCCCGGGCGGGTTACGGAGGAGGGGCGCCTGGGACGGCGACTTGTTGGGCCGCCGCGCTCATTGTACGACAACGAGCCTTGTTTACCTGGCTGGTGTCCTCCCCGTCCATCTCCCCCATCCAGGAGTTGGTTATATACCGTTGTAACGACCTTCTGCTGTCCGGTGACAGCGGTTTGTGGAGTCTGAGCTCGCAGTTACCCCGACTGCGGATTCTGGCGGTGGAGGGGTTGCGGGGGCTGCTGACGGAGGGGCAGGTGGCGGAACTGGGGGGCCTGAAGCAGGTGAGGCGGAGGGGGGAGGGGCGGGAGGGCCGAGGAGGAGGAGGGGGGGCCCAGATGAAAGGAAAGGAGAGGAAGTTTTGGCCGGCCCTGTGCTCTGTATGTATGCATGTATGTATATGTTGTATGTATATGTATGTATATGTATGTATATGTATGTATATGTATGTATATGTATGTATGTATGCCCTTCTTGTAGTTGGAGGCTCTGGTCCTGACGGGCGAGGAGTACCGCAGTGACTTTGCGGTGGGGCTGGAGGGTATACCGGCGGCCTGGAGCAAACTGACTGCCCTGACCAGGTGGGGCCCGGGAGGGGGGAGGGTCCTGGAGGGGGGAGGGGGAGGCGAACCACGCGAGCGAGTGAAGCTGCTGCCAGGAGGAAAGAGTGCTGCGGCGGATGTAGGCAGGAAGCAGAACTGACCAGTCGGCCTCGGGATGATGTAGTGATGACGACAGCGGAAAAACTACCTACCTAGCCGTCAAGACTATATAAAAGCGGAAAAAGAGCAGTAGAGCCAAGCCGTGAAATAGTGAAGGTAGACGTAAAGGCGGCGAAAAAGTAATAAAACTGACGCGAGACGAGAAAGGGATGACGTGAGCTGGAATAACGTGGGCCGCCGGCCTGAGGAGGAGGCTGGAGCAAAGCTGGCTGATAAGCTGGTAGTAAGCTGCTGGTGACATGCATGTGCTCCTCCCAACTCCCCAAACACGCGCCCAACCCGACCGACCCAACTATCCTAGTCCGGCCAGCCGACCAACGCGAACGCGATATACACCGACAAAGCTCAAACCTCCTTCGGACTCACCTGGCCAGGCAGCAGAAGCGGCGGGCAAGGAGGGCACACGCGAGGCAGAGAGGTAGCAAGGTTGTGAGCAGCGAGCGACAAAGAAAAAGCAACGCATGCGAGCGCCGCTAAAAGGGAGTATTAAGCTGGCGGGCTGGGGAAGCTGGGAATAAGAAGCCCAAAAGAACCTCTGTGAAAGCGGAAAAAAACGCAGGGAGTAGAAAGAAAACCTAAATGCAAAGGCGGAGCAGGACGACGCAGGAGTTGTCGTACGGATAGATAGATGACGGAATCGACAAGGTGATGACGCCATGGACAACGTATACGCCGGCAGGAACGCAAAGAAGGTAGAAAGGGATGGAAAGAACGCATAACAAAAGGCAATGGGAGGAGAGGCGGTTGGCAATGGAAAGAGAAGCGAGTGGAAGGGGGGTGGGGGGAGTACCGGGGAGCTGCGGGGAGTGGAACCCCTCCCCCCACCTCCCCCCGCCTTACCTGCCTGGTGGTCTGAAGGGCGTTTAG